GGGGTGGCCTTGCTCTGGGGTGAGGTGGTTGTAGGGTGGCTGTGCTGTGGGATGGGGTGGCTCTGGGGTGAGATGGTTGTGGGGTGGCCTTGCTCTGAGGTGAGGTGACCGTGGGGTGGCATGGCTGTGGGATGGGGTGGCCGTGCCGTGAGGTGGCCTTGCTCTGGGGTGGGCTGGTTATGGGGTGGCTGCACGGTGGCTGCGCTCTGGGATCGGATGGCCGTGGGGGGATGTGGCTCTGGGGGGGGGTGGTTGTAGGGTGGCTGTGCTGTGGGATGAGGTGGCCTTGCTCTGGGGTGAGCTGTTGTTTTTTAGGGTATGTTTTTTAGGGTCTCTCTGAAGCAGACTTCATTCTGGCTCCTGCACTGGCCAGTGCTATCTTGACTGTATAGAGGAGGCAGGGGAGAGCCCACAGTTGAGGTCTGTGGGTTGTGAATACTTTGGGGACAGTAAAAGCCAGAACCTTTCTAACAAATGGCAGAAATGGGGCAGAACCAATCCAATGAATCTTGTTGATTACCTCTCTGTCCCCAAGTCTTTCAGATGAACTTAGGCAAAACAGACAAATGCAGCCTGGGCAGAAAGGCTAGGGAAAGGACGTGGGGCATGTCGTAGATGCTTCATGTGCTGCTAATGAAAAATGTGAGTGTCCTATTGTGCCATATGAATGAGAGTTCAGTTTATAGTAGTGTTAGTGTTCATCTAGTTAGGCCCTTGCTGGAGAAGACAGACATTTCTGGGCAGTCTAACCAAAAGGTAACAGCCAAAAGGAGTCCAGAGGTGAGTGTTCTGACAGTCCAAGCTTCTCCTCAGTAAGCCTAGCAGAGAGAATTGAAATAATGAATTTCTGGTTGTTGTTTCTGGAGATGCGACAGCCAAGGAGAGATGAGATGTTACCTTCCAAAAAGAGAGGTGGTCAAAAGCATGAGCCCTTCTGAGACTTCCTGATCGCAGAATGAAAAGGAACTGGTTTTAGGTGACGCAGAAAATTATTGCAAAATAGATGGAGACTTTTGGTATCTTTAGATTTTTAAAATTTGTCGTGATAGAACAAGCTTATTTTGAAACGATTGTAGAACTACCCTTCTTGGAAGTGTTCTAGGTGAAAATTTAATCTCCGTACAAAAGTACTACTAAAAGATAGAATCCTTCCGCTTGCAGCGAAGGGAAAGGTACTGAATGGAAGTTGGGGAGGAAGAAAACAAAATGACTTTAAGCCAGAGGAAGAGAAGTCTCTGTTTTAGGTATATCAGATGTCAGAATGCTTGACAGCCACGATGATAATTTCATAATTTGAACTTTCATTCAGTTCTGTGTTACCTTCTGAGCTGTTATGGTTGTAAAGAAAGCTTTCCAAATGAGTCTTAGTATGACTTGATGCATGGCTGTCTCTGAAAGGCCTAATGTGGGCAGTGTCATGCTTAACTAAAGTCGTGATGCTAAATGAATGCAGTTTTTTACACGGACACTTATGTCTGTGTAAATCTGCATATCGGATTAGCTTGTGCTTACAAATTAGAGGTGCAATTATTATGACCTGGTTTAAATGGATATAAACATGTCTCTATAATGTTATGGTGGTTTAAACTCATGCCACACCTTGTGTATAGCTTTGTTGTCTTCTGACAAGTGGTCCCATTGACAATACTGAACTACTGAACAGCCCAGAACTTCCTTGATGGAATCCATCAGGAGAATGAAACTAGGACGTCTCTGGTCAATTCTGTGGCAGTGTAGTAAACCTGGGAAGAACTTAAAAGAGAGTGACAAGGACGATCAAAGCTGTGGACAACTTGTGCATGAAATGACTGAGTAGAGAATTTTCCTGTAAGTCTGAAAACAAATGACAGAAAGCGGATCTGATATAGGTCTATATTCTCTCTACGCTACTTGTGATTTTAAATATATATATACAAAAGCTGAATGTTCATTGTCTCTTCAATACAAAACTTAGGCCTATCAAATGAAACTAGCAGATACAAACTCAAAGCAAACCTGTGCCACACCTGCGCAAACCTTCCGATAACTTGTGGCTATGGTGTGAAGCTCCTTCTCACAGGATGTTGTAGGCCTTAAAAATATACTTAGGCGTAGGCAGCAGCTGAACAAGTTAACGGAAGGAAAAAAAATTGGGTTATTGGATGCGGGAGAACACCTTATACTCGGGCAGTCCCTGACCTGCGAATGCCGAGTGTGTAGTTGGAAGAAGTGTTGTTACATGTATTGCCCAAATCCTGTTTCTGACGGTGACTGATCAGTGTCTAGGCAAGAGTATTAAGAATAGGGGAAAAGGCACGTGTATTCCTTGCTCAATAAAGCTGTTCTTGCAGAATTTTTTTGAAATGCTGTGGATGGTGCTGTGTGGTCACATCTGTGTGACATCCTGCAATGCCTCTGATACAAGCTGAGACACAGCGTGCTAACTGGATAGGCTGTGAAGGAGAAGATGCAGGTGGGATCCAGCCCTCTCTCCTGTACCAAAACTGAGGGTTGAGCTGCAGGATTTATCTTAGACTTTGCTGATGGATCATCTTCTGTTGTGTAGTAGCTTACCTGGCAAATATTTCCAAGCATGCTGTGGGCACAGCATCTATGAGAGGACTTGTCAGCATGCAGAATGATTCTACGAGCATGGTGAAAACTGACGCGAGTCCATTAAGCGCAAGTTAGTATGTGATTTTAAACAAGACTCGTCTCTGCTGGACTGATTTTAATAATCCAGCCAAATTTGTGGATGCAAGAACCACTAATTCCCTTGTGAAAAGAACTGCTCAAGTGTACTGGCAGGTGACAGGTAGGCATGAGGAGACTGCTCAGCGAAGGTTGTTTTTTCTTTGCCCCCATCTCTTCAGTTGGCTTTGATCTGTTTTATATGAGGGTCAGAAGACGAAAACCTCATTACCTAACGCTGCTGGATGTCAACGTATGTGTGATGTGGCTCTTTGCCAGTATCTTAATTAGGGAATTCATAAAAGCAGAGGGAGGATGCAGTTCTTGAAAAGTGCTTTTAGCCCTTCTGCTGGAAAGAAAGCTTTTATTAATTCATTACAAAATGAATTAAAAGGGATCCAGCTCAACTCTGTAAGCAAAGCTCCCTCCCTCCCTCCATGCTAGCCATTTTGGACTCCAGGATGGTCCCAACAAATGAGATCTGTAGTAAACATGTAAGTCAGTTAGGACTGAAATCCATGTTTTTCTGGTTTGAAGAGGTCTTTAGATTTTGTGCGAGTGTTGTCAGAATTCAGTGAAAATGATTCTGTGCCTAGTCATACCTTTTGGAGGAAGGGAGGCACCTGGCTTTCGATCACTGTGTGTGTGCAAGGCTGCTAGGACTTGATTTTCCAGAGTGGTTCATGGAAAGCGGAAGGGCAGTTCTGTATGCCCTGAGCTGCTCTCTGGATGTTAAGCACCTATAACACTTTCTCCTTTTAATGGGCACTACTTAAAGATGTTTCTGCGAGTAAAGTCCTTCATCCCTGCTATGGAGCAAGTTGACCCTGAAGAGTTGCAGCGTGAGCTTTCCATACGCTGTGCTTTAGCTCTGTCCCAGAGGAACATCTTCAAGGAAAGTTGGGGGTGGGGGGGGGAGGGCAGAGTTCGGTCTTCACAACTTAATTCACAACTGTGCTGAGACTGCCATTTAAAAGATATGTTAATGTGAAGTGCAGTGATGGCTCAGCATCTTGCTAGAAAGCCCAGCTCTTCATTTTCATGCAGACCTCAGACAGGCCTAGGTTCCTATCCCAACTAACCTCTCAGTGCATTTGTTAGCATGGGGGCTAGGTTTCCATTCGTAGTAAGTTCAGGTGTGCAACTGCTTCTAGGATTGCTCTCTCGCTTGGAGAGCTGCCCCTGGGGATTATGCTGAAGCTTTTCAGGTTCTCTTGCGCCACAGCTTTACAGGCTACAGGGACTCCCTGGCAGCCCTGAGAATAACCCGTAATTCTCAGACGTGTTGCTCTAATTTCTCCTCTGTGTTTATTTTCTCTTTCTCTATTTCCTTTTGCCTTGCAGTGAAGAGTTGCTTGGATGGCTTAGCTGCTGAGAGACTCCTAGCATGCAGGAGCAGATCCCAAATCCCAAGTGAGGCAGTGGCACTGGCATATCAGAATATTGCTCTGCCCATAGTTTGGGCTATTGTCTGGGGCTCTTTGTTTAAATAAACCGCCTCCGGAAGGTAGATAGTCTTTTCTTAATTTGCAGGTGGGGAAACTGAGGCACTGTGGGGGGATGGGGGGGGGTGACCTGACAGGAAGACAACCAGTTTCTCTCTGCTGTGGCGACATGTTGCTGCCAAAACTTGGCGCAGGTCGCAGGTAGGTAAGCAGGGTGGAGGCCTTGGTGAACATGTGTTAGGGATGTTAGGCAGAGTGCTGCAGAGACCTTTCTGTCCAGCTTAATGTTGTCTGTGTGTAGCTCAGGATCTTTCACCTCTGCAGGCCTTGTATATTTAGCTGTGGAGGCAGGAGGCCGAGTGGCTGGACTTCCCTTCTCAGTGGAGGTGGATCCATATCAGCTAGGAGAAGCGTTGAGGGTGACTGATGTGTTTTTCAGATCGATGGGCTGGAGGAGAAGCTGGCGCTCTGCAGACAGAGCATGGAAGAGGTGGATCTTAAACTGCGCAGGGAGAAGCTCAGCCCTGAAGGAAGGTATTGATGATCACCTCCTTTCACAGCTATAGCTGCATGCTTCAGCTAGCTGCTGTCCTGCTGTGGTACTCAGCAAGGGCTCTTGGATGGATGGGAATTTGTGTGGTTTCCCATGACAAGACTCTCTTCCCCCAGCTTGGTGCTTAGTCAGCAAACTTACCTGTGTGAGAAGTTTAGCGATATATGGAGAGCTGATCTTATAGACAGACTCACTCAAACCTGCAGTGCCCCCAGTCAAGCAGCGCATGGACTTCCCAGTTTATTTGCAGAACTGGCTCCAGGCCTGATAGGAAACAGCTCTGTAACACCAGCAAAGGGTTCACTCTGTGCTGCTACTCAAGCCTTGTGGGAGCTGCCTAAGTTGAGACAGGGAAGATGGGTAACAACCACTACTCCAGGCCAAACCCAGGCTGGGATGCATATGGAAAAAGGCTGAGGGAAGTGACTCTAGCTCTGCCTATGTTGCAAATACAGCTGGGTGTAGAAACGCAATGATCCACTGCCTTTCCTTGAGAAAGGGAAGAGGGGCAATTCCCCTGAGATCTGTTACTGACATCGAAGAGGCAAATGTAGTCTTTTGAGCTGAGACTCAAGCAAGGACTTTAATGTGGACTTGTTTTAGGAGACATAGGCAGAACCTGACATCTCCCTGGAGTGTGAAGCAAGAGATAAGTCTTCAGTCCTTACCAGGGTGCAAAAGCCAGGGCTTCCCCCAACTGGAATCTCCAAGCTGATTCTCAAATCTGTGAGGTTGAGGGCATGCCTTTCCTCAAGTCATCAACATCCTATCGCTCTGCTCCTAGCAAAGAGCCTGGAAAGCTCAGTTGTAGGCCCAGGAAGGGAGCGGTCTTGTTGTTTCCTATTTTCTGCTCTACAAGAGCAAGTCCTATAGAGCCCAGCTAGAAACGGCCCTAGCAGTGACTCACACATTGAGATTTTTCCAGCATCAGCTTATGTTCTTTGCTCTCCCTTTCCACTCTGTTACTTTGTTCTCCATCTGCCATTCCTTGAGCCAACCCCTTGCCCCCTTGCTCTCTTTTCTCCTCCTTTACTGGGATTTTATATCCCCATTCATATTTGGACAGGCTCCTGTCTCCTTTCCCTCATCTCTCTAGCTCCACATCTCACCAGTCCTTTATCTAGGCCTAAATTTGTCCCCTTGTATTACTGTCTGAATTTGTCTGCTGCTGAGGTGGCCAGCCAACCCGCCTTCTGTTGCAGTAACTTGACAGAATGGAACGTACCTGTGTGATTTCTCTCTGAAATGCGGGACCTAGAGCAGAGAACTGGGATTTAGGAATTCCTACGGCTTTTTCCAAATTTCGCAACTTGCATGCAGATGGAAAGAGAAATTCTCTTGCCCTAATTGAGATTATTCTCAAACCATGGAAGAAAGTCCTTGTCCTCTGATCAGAGCCATTAATCTAGTGAGTGTTATGCAAAGGAGAGCTCTGCTTTCCCATTTTGAAGTTCGATTATGATGTTTTCTTCCTTGCTTTCCCCACCAACCCAAAGCTCCCTCCTCCTAGACTCGCAGTAAGCTGCCTACTTGTTCTCCTAGCTCAGGGTCCTTGAGTCCTGTACGCTTCGCCATACTTTAATAAGGTCTCAGTTCCTGTCTCATTCTCAAAGCCTCTTCCCTTGACTCGCTTCAAAAGGCAAGCTTCTAAGTAGGAGCTCAGTGATGTTGGCAAATCTCTCTTCTCATGTCCTCCTGGACTGCACTCTGCATTTCTTTTCCCATGGTTGTTTCTAAGAGCCCTTCTTTCCTCTCCTGCTGCTACTGTAGCCTGCTTTCCTGCTGCCCATCACTTAACCAGCTGTACGCTTAGGTTTGAATCTCTTTCTATTACAGGTTCTTGCTTTACCCCAAGGGGAACAACAAACTATTTCACTTACTTGTAATACTTCCTTGTAATACTATAGTCTGCTCTGAACAGGGAGATAATTTGTTAGTAGTGCATGTTTATTTGTATGCACACAATCTGCAAGGAGTGGCAGTGTCCTCAGTGCTACAATGGAAATGCTGCTGCTTTCAGGCAATTTGTTTTGCTTATATTTTAAACTGTGTATTAATTAATCATCTTGTGCAGTTGAAGACACAGGCTGGGTGGGTGGTGGTGTGGGCCCAGTTTACTTATTATCCAGTCTTCAGTCTAGTAACAGGTTGTTTAACTGTTTTGTTACTGGGCCTAGGTTCAGCTTGTCTCCCTGAGTGGAGGAATTTGTATAAATCAGGCATCCCTTAGAAGGGGATCCCAAATTCAATGGGTCAGAAGAGTTTGTCTTTCAGCACTGAGCCAGTTTGTGCTGGAAGGGCAGGATCCAGCAGAGAGCATGTATAGACCCTGTCCTGTCCTGTATCAACTGCAGAACTGTCCCTACCTGGGGGAACAGGGTAGGGGGATCTCTGACCGACAGCCCCCTTTCTAGCCTGCCTGCCTACAGTGGCACTGTCCTGAAATGAGACACACAACTTTTTCCTTCCCCAAAGCTACATTCTCTAATTACTGCATCTCTCCTCTTGCTCATCTCGGGGTTTCTAAACTGTCACCTCTTCATAATGAAGGGTGAGGGGCTCGTTCTGTGAGCAGCTATCCCTGCTGGTGGGGCAGAGTTTCTCTTCCATCATATAAGCAAAGAAATAAGCTGTGTTGTGCCTCGCAGGTAATGAACTCCTCTTCTCATTACAGAAAGTCACTGGAGAGAGAGAGAAACTTACTAATGACCAAAGCTGACAACTATGGTAAGAGCTTCATTGAAAATGGTCCCTCTGGGCTGGATGGGATCAGTGCTGCAGCTTAGTTTCCTGTTCAAGCTTCTGCCACCTCTGACTTCTGCCTTTGAATTTGGGCTCAATCAAACAGGGCAAGGCTGAGGGAAATTTGGTCAGCATTTTATAAAAGGAATCCAGATCCTCTGTACCCCTCTTGAGCTGTGGAAAAAATATTAGGTATCAGCTGATGGGGGGGGGGGGAGGGATAAGAGGCCCCCTTGACACGTCCCCAAACCACCTGTAATTTTACAGAATCTCAGCCAACAGCTTTACCTGCATTGCTTTTAACCTTTCCCCATTGACCTCCTCCTCTTTTTTTTTTTTCTTCCTTCTTAAACAAAGGAAGAGTTGCTAAACAAACTTGGAAAAGCTATCTGGAGGGTAGCAAAGCATACTTTCCCTGGGAAGGGTTCTCCCTATATCAGTCTCTGGAGCTGTGCAGCATAGGGATTTACACTGACATGTTACATCATCTTTCTGGGGCACAAGGAGGCCCAGATTCTGCAACCGTTAAAAGTGGCTGAGGTTGGTTTTTAAGTGAATTTAAGCACTGGAAGAAGATAATGGAGATAATGAGAGAAAAAGATAATGAGAGTCCTGAAGACTTGTCTACAGTAAAAGTATTTGTCTATAGTAAAAATAGCTCTCTTCCCACTGTCCTCGTCTTCCTTCTCTTAGGGAACATGGAGTTGTTCTAATCACCCGTTCTAGGGCCCTTGGTAGGGTCCTAGAACAAGGTTGTTAGCAAACAGGAACTGGAACATGGGCTGAAACATTTCTAAGTACAGTTACTGAAATAGACAGGATGAAAGTTAGCAGGTGAAAGGGTCCTTATTAGTCTACTTCCTGCCCAGCACTTCCCATAAGTATCAGCTTTGCATATGGATCACAAGAGAACAGCCCCTGGGCTAAGGTAGGCTTGTTTCTCTAAGATAGTTTTGAAAGGAGAAGTAGCTGCAGCACAAAAAAAATTTCACAAGCAAGGCTTTTGTTTGTTTCCCAGAAAAAGAACTGAGCGTGCTTCGTAAGGAAAATCGCAAGAACGCTGCCCTTGCTGTGGCCATGGGGTTACTGATTGCTCTTATATACACCTGCTGGACGATGTGATTGCACTCCAAAATTCTCCCTGCTCACCAAATGACTCTCCTGCAAGGAGCTCTTCCTTTTCTCACCAATGTGCCTCCCTCCCAAGGGTGGGAAAGAGCATTTCAAACTGTTCTTGTTTGTCCTCCCCAAGCCTCATTGCAAGGACACTTTCTCTTCAAGAACTGAGGGGCTGGGAGGCAAACTAGAAATCGAAGCACACCTGTGATCAGAAAGCAGGTCAATGCAGGGCTCAAGGTGGAGCTCTCTTATCCAATATGCAGTGAAGACCCTCCTGGCTGATGCAGGAATGGAGTATTTTCTTCATTTTAGAAGAGGACCTCTCTGGGTTGCAGACAAGTGCTCTCTGGGCCACCTTCTTGGTTCCCGTGCCCCAGCAATAAGCTGAAGGGACCAAGTTCTCTGGATCAAAGGGAAACCTGGATATTGTGCCCTCCAACACACATATATATGCCCTGAGCTGATGCTAAATAGAGACAGTTTCCTCCTCCACACAAACTTACAGGACCAGAGGAATCCTACCTCCACAAAATCAGATGGGAGATGGGCATCTCTTTCTGCAAGCAGGTAGCAGCCAGCTTGAGATCTTGGTGCTTGGATTTTGAAAGATCTGCCTACCTCTCTTGTGCATCAGAGCTTGTTAACCATTCTGTGCCTCCAAGAATCAGCACTTGCAGAAGAGAGTTTGCTATCAACTCCCAGGGATGAAAGTGCCTCTGTAGGGTTTTAAATAAAATAATTAGACCTAGTAGCTTCCAGCTTTTCCTTTTTTTTTTTCCCCTTCCTCTCCCTCCTCCCTATATTTTGTAACAGGCTTCTCAGCCACTGTTCTGCTCTGTTCTTGTCCTACCACTCCCCTGCTGGCATACCGTCCACCGCAGTAAGCCTAGACCAGGCTAGGTACTTGACGTTCCTTGGTGGCAGGTCTCAGCGGTGGGCTACTGGCTGATTGTGGCCTGGAATCTGCTTGAGTATTTGCTGTCATGTGTGTGCTTCCTTTGAGTGGAAAAGCAGCCTAGCACAAGGCAGGGGAGCGCCAGAGGCTGCAGACAGTGTCCTGCATTCCCTTCTCATTCTGATCTAGTGACATACAAAGGGGAGCCCTGAGCAAGTGCTTGCTTGTCAGGAAAGCCTTTAAAAAAAGGGGACTACCTTCAAAATTTAACTATGCAAGGCATTTCTCTCTCTACACTAACACAAATTGCTGGCTAGGATTTTGTGGGAAACAAAGTAATCAAGCACCTTTGTGAACTAAAGGGGCTGTATTGATAATAGAGACAATGAAAGCAGAAGAGTCAACACAAAATGATACACAGCCAATACATTGTGCAATTAATGTATGTAAACATTCCCTTCAGCAAGACCTTCCTCGTCCCCTTTCCCAGCATGCTCCCTCCATATTCAGCCTTCAGCAGGGAAGCAAGTAGCTGAGTAGCTCATTCTGCCTTCTTGAAAGGGAGTTGAGGGTCAAAGTTCAGTGCATCAAAAAATAAAATTAAAAATAAAAGCAAATTAAAATTAAGAGGAGCGAGAGACAACAGGGCAGATAGGAAGCAACTGTTCATAAAAGCTAGCCTGCAGGCAAATCAAGTTTCTTTTGTACCCTCAAAGGCCCACACTTACCATAGCGTACTCCCTAGTTACCCTTCCGTCTGCAAGCCCAGAGGAGACCAAAGCCCTGAGTGAAGGGCGCGACACTTAGCAAAGGAGCCTGGCAAAGAGAGCAGCTTGCTTTGCTGGCATTAAAACAGCCTCAAGGCAGTCAGCAGAAGCACCAAAACTCAAATTACTGATTTAAAAAGCCAACTGTACACAGGCCTGGAAGCCACACAGCTAGAGGTGCTTTCTTGCCCAGTGGGAGAGGTTCCTCCCTGTCCTTCATAGAAGTGCCTTCGCTAAAAGAAAACTGCCACTGACAGGGTCTTGTCCTCTGAGGGGAAGGCCACAATCTCTCTCATGTTTTACCAGGGCTTGAGAGCACAGGGGGCTACAATTCAGCAACAGCATGCTACTGCTCAGGTAGACCTACCTGTGTCTAGGGATTAATAATTGTCAAGAGGCAGAAGGGGGACCAAAAAAGACTTTGGCCCGCTTCACTACTTTTGGCTGGAGTTTGAGCAGAAACAAAATAGCTCTTCTGTGCAATATCCAGGGCTTACCTATTTGTAACCTAACCTCCCATCCACACCCAGCTTTGCCTCCTCCAGTTTCCATACACCAACAGACCATGCCAGCTTCTGTGCTGCTCCCCTAGCCAGGGTTTGTGGTTCTGCAGTATTGAAGCCTGTATACAAGTTTCCCTGGTACAAGGAATTGTAGCGGCTAAATTCATTTATGCCAAACAGTAGAGAACTAATGCACAGGTACATGGACGCAACTTGCTTGTGAAGACATGCAGGCTCAGAGAGCAGAGCCCACTCATAGGATGACATTCAGTACGTGCAGAGATTCAGCACAAAACCTATGCACAACATTGGGCCTTAGAGGGTGGAGAGGGGAATTCACAGCACTGTCCTTGTTCTGGCCTCTTTGCGAGGGATGCAATGCACCCATACTCCTGCAAGAGCCAAACTTTCCGTGTCTCATTATATACAGCTTGTTTAAATCCTACATGTGGAGATGGGGAAAAGGAAATAAGAATCTAAACAACTGCTATAGTTTCTGGGAGAACTATAGTTTTCTTTAAGGCACAGTTCAGGCAACCTCTAAATAAGTTTCCTCCCTACTGCCAACCTGTGTTTTTAAAAAAAAAAAAAAAAAAAAAGAAACTTTGTTGTCTGGCCAAAAGCAACTGTGTGTTATCTTCTGATTTATATGGAAGACCTGGCAAAAGCCACATGGAAGCCAGAAGTGAAGGTAAAACATGCAGCAGAAGACAACTTTTAAGCCCAGCACAGAAGTGCATGGAGAAGTCTGTTGACACACAAAACATCATGCCGAGAGAGTCACAGCTCTGTGCCTTCACGCTCCAGATGCGGTTCCAGGGTCAGATCAGACATGGAGGGTTTCAAAGACCACTCTGACATTTAAAAAGGAAAGTCTAACATCCTTTCCAGTGGATATATTCAGGCAATAGGATTTCTTCTGAATAACCAACATGGTCAAAGTCAAGATCTCGCTTCATCAAAGCCCTGGGTCTTTTGTAAAAATCAAATGTTCCCATCATTTCCTCTAAAGACCTCCAGCGTCACAAACCTCCTGCGTCTTCCCTCCCACATCTGCTTTCCTCCCTGAAGATATGGGTAACAGTGTTGAGTACCAAGAGAATTAAAGCACCTTGGTCTCAGAAGTACCATGAGGCATAGACACGTTCACAGATTTACACCAGGCTGGTGGCTGAGGGTCAGTCATGGACCTGGAGAGGGGAAATCCTTGTCACAGCAGCTTCCAGAGGTCTGAGAATACCCTGGCATTCTACACATCAAAGCCGTGCCAGGGACTCTCAAGATCTTATCACCTAGGTTGGCTTTTGTTCACCAGGATACCATCATAGAGGAATTGCCAGCGGTCAGCCAAGTGCCTTGACAAGCGCTGGAGACACCAGCAAGAATACATACTTGTGTCCCAAAGCTAGCATTCCCTAAGGAGTTATACCCACCACTGGATCGCAAAGACCCTTGACGAGGCCAAGGAGACAGACAGCTGCCAGGAACTGTGCAGGGCTGCTCGAGTATGCTGTTCCCCAGCTCTGTCACCATCCTCTGCTCCTTCCCGCACTGCCAAGTAAGCACGTACCACCTCCGAAGAGTTCTGGCGCACACGCACAGCTCCACAAACCTAGCTGAATGTTTGAACAGGAACAAGGAAAGCTGCCAACCCCCTGGCCTTGTGCATGCAGGAGGTCAGGACAAAAGGGCATTAGGCCTTGGCTCCAGGAGTCTCCATGGGTACTCCTGCAGCAGGCACTACCTGGGCCATACGCTTACATACACTGCCATCCCAGGCTACAGCCTTGTCCTATGCCTTCTGCATACCACCCCTGGTTAGATCACCTCCAGGAAATCAGCTCTGGAGAAGACCAGGGACAGAAGTTGTGGAGTCTCCCCAGTCCAGCCAGTCCCGAAGAATCCAAGCAGGGCTCAGCAACCCCCGCACCCCTCCTGAGCGCAGGCATCAGGGGTAGTGCGCTTGGATGAAAGACAGGACATCCTCCTTCGATAGCTTCTCTGGATCTTGCCTTTTCTGAGAGTCATGCACTTTGACACCTTCCCCCCACTCCCAGAAGAGGCGGCTGTAATGGCAGACACTGTGGGCAGAGAGGAGAACAAGATTAGTAAGGCAAAGGGGAAGGGAATAGGAAGACACTGTCATCATAGCCCCAAAGTGCACTACAAAGACAGTTGCCCTGGCAATGGGAGGCATCCAGAGATAGTCTAAGAAGGCCACCACATTCATTCACTTGATAAACTCTAGAGCCTTTAAGGTACAGAAACTTCCAAGCCTACGAGATTTGCATGGAAACAAATGTGTTAATTTTAGCTCCATTTAAGATGGTCAGAGCTTTTTTCCATTTAAGATGGCCAGTTTAGTATTTGCTGGAAGGAGACAGGTCATTAGGGAAAACCTACCTTCCCCCCAAAGGTTTTCAGAGGATGTTGATGCAGGCAATGAAAAAACCTTAACAAAGAACTTAGAAAGCCTGACAGCAGCAGCAAGCAGCAGTCTGATCACTCATTCACCACAAACCTACTAGAGTCCAGTAATACCTGTCTTACGTAGCTTAGCAAATGAACAGAACTTCATGTTGTACAAAAGCAGCTGGGATCACCCCTTCTCTCCCCATGTTATCTAACCAAGCCCCACTTGGCTGATGAGACTTTGGTCCTAACACCACTTCTCACTCCATCCATCTGCCACTTCTCACTCCATCCATCAAGCCCAGCCTTCCCTCAGTGCATCAGCAGAGTCCCAACCATAATGAAAAAGAGCTGCTGAACAGCATTTAGTTTTGTATAATTGCTGACACTTAATATAACAGTAGCTTATTTAGTGCTATTGTTCTAAAAAAAAAAAAAAAAAAAACAGTATTAGCATAGCGACAAAAGCACATGTCAATGGCTAATTGCACATACATTAGTACTCACTATTGACAATACAACTCCCTTTTGGAGTCCCACACAAGCCTTCCCCATCCTCATCCATTCATGCTGGTCCGCTTTTGAGAAGAGGAGTGTATAAGGCAGAACTAACCCCATCCTGAGGCAGGGAGGGGAAAAAGCACCATGTGTCACTGCTTCTGCAGTTTTAAGCCCCTTCTTCTATTTAGCTAGTTAAAGGAAGCCTACAGATTCCTAAGAGCACTGCTGTAAGGCAGATAAGACTCAGAGCGGGAGATCAGGACCTCTGTTTCATATGAACATCTCCCTCAGAGGCACGGTCAGGGAGGGGGGGAGCGAAAGGGGGGGAAATCTTTAGAGACCACCTGAGGCGTGATATCCAGAACATCTCCACCCATGAGCCCTGAGCTGCCAGACTCAGAACGTGCTGTCCTTAGGCAGCCTAGGCCTAGCACACATTAGATACAGACTGGTTTCAGCAGCCACAGTGTTAATGACTGTCTAATGGCAATCCATTCCCATCCTCTCCCAAGGAGCTGCTGCTACTTTTTTCTCACTTTCTCGTTAAACAACTCCCAGCTAGCTATAATTTATCCCAGAGCCCAGCCTAAATGAATTGGGATTTGCTTTTAAATTAGCAACTTCCAGCCAAGCATCTTAAGATACTTTACAGTTGCCAGACTCAACTTCCATT